CCTATTCTGATCTGTGTCAGTGTGTATCAGGGGCTCTGAGGACAGGTGTCAATCCATATCTGCCGTGTGACCCTATGTAGGAGGAACAGTCCCTATTCTGCTCTGTGTCAGTGTGTATCAGGGATCCCTAGGACAGGTGTCAATCCATATCTGCCAAGTGACCCTATGTAAAAAAGGCCTGATGAGATGGGCTGCCTTGGGCTAAAAATGGTCCACACGCTGCTGTATTTTAGCTCTGAATGCCTGTTGACTTGCGTGACTTATCCGCCACCAACTTGGGTTCAAGCCGCCAGTGTGTACTTTATAAGTGGCTTTATAAAGCAGTGTGTACTTTATAAATGGCTCCACCTGCCACCCGTACAGCAACACAGTCTCCAGTTAGGAGGGACCAATAAGCCTCTTCTTCCATCTACCTGTTACAAAAATCAATGCCGTGTACACGTCCACTGATAGGAGACGCGGAAGGTATTAAGCTGATAAAAATAGTACTAAACACACCACTCCTATCTGGTGTCACATTAGCTTGACCGCGCAGTGCCCCAAATTTGCAGTAAGAGGACCGACCAAGCCTCTTCTTCCATCTCCCTGTTACAAAAATCAATGCCGTGTACACGTCCACTGATAGGAGACGCGGAAGGTATTAAACTGATAAAAATAGTACTAAACACACCACTCCTATCTGGTGTCACATTAGCTTGACCGCGCAGTGCCCAAATTTGCAGTAAGAGGACCGACCAAGCCTCTTCTTCCATCTCCCTGTTACAAAAATCAATGCCGTGTACACGTCCACTGATAGGAGACGCGGAAGGTATTAAACTGATAAAATAGTACTAAACACACCACTACTATCTGGTGTCACATTAGCTTGACCGCGCAGTGCCCCAAATTTAATGTGATCTGTGAGTAAGGTAAACGGTTGTCCATACCAGTAGGTTGCAGCTTTTTGAGGGCCCACACCACCGCCATGCACTCTTTTTCAATGGCAGTGAATATACTTCGCTGTGCAAAAGTTTACGGCTTAGATAAAAATCAATGCCGTGTACACGTCCACTGATAGGAGACGCGGAAGGTATTAAACTGATCAGAACAATACTAAACACACCACTCCTTTTTTTTTGGTGAGGCTTTACAGGACAGAGTGCTTCTCCACGGGACATGTTAACTCACGGGCAACTGGCTCATCAAGGAACCAGAGCAGCTTTCCATGTACAGGTAAGACACGTGCAGCCGGTAAGGGTTCAGGCTCTTCTTCCTGGAGGATAAGCTGCAAGCCTGTTGAACGAGGTGACCTTGCTCGGGTCCCAGGTGTACGGTTCCTAAAATGGCTGCCATATACACGTCCACTGATAGGAGACGCGGAAGGTATTAAACTGATCAGAACAATACTAAACACACCACAAATAAGGTTTCTCTCCTGTATGGCTCCTCAAATGATGCTTAAGATTAGAAGCGGCTGAAAAGCATTTCTCACACTCCGAACAAAAATATATTTTTTAACATTCTCTCCACTTTGAACGAAATGACGTTTGGGAAGAGATTAACATAATTAAACACAGGCAGTAAAATACAGTTTTTAGCCATACACTGTAACTTTAAAACTACACATCCCATCTTCATAATTACATATTTGGAATCAGCACACTTAAAAACATAAACATAACCAAAAATCAGCCAAATCCATCCAGGGGTTAAAAAGTTAGCTGGAGGTCCCTTTATGACCGACCGCAAGCACATTTTCCTGCCCAAAACAGTTCCATAGATTTGGGCTGTGAGGTCGGTCTATTTCAGGCTGAAAAAGCGACTAAGTCCCATCGCGAATGGGACTTAGTCTCTGCAGCTGAAATAATTTCCCATTTACTGAACCAAGTGGGAAATAGCAAGGCAGGCACAAAGGGTTTGCACCAGGTCTGGGGACACAGGGGACACCGTCTTAAAGGGGCCGTGTCCCCAACAAGTCTGGGGACACGGCCTTAAAGGGGCAGTGTCCCAATCTTCCTGATGTCCCAAAAAAGGTGTTTAAAGGGCCAGCACCAGTCACATAAAGAGTCCATAAGCCCCAATATGCCCACCGACAGTCTTAAAGGGCCATACACACCAAATAAAAGTGCATACATTTTCACAATCTCCCAGGGGCCATAGTCATGCGGGAGGAGGCTGGCAAATAGGCTTCTCCACAACCCAGGGAAGCAGGGCAATTTGCCATTTAAAGGGCCGTTACAAATAGCAGTTTGTAACAAGGTGTCAATCCATATCTGCCAAGTGACCCGATGTAGGGGGACCAGTCCCTATTCTGCTCTGTGTCAGTGTGTATCAGGGAACCTTAGGACAGGTGTCAATCCATATCTGCCAAGTGACCCGATGTAGGGGGAACAGTCCCTATTCTGCTCTGTGTCAGTGTGTATCAGGGATCCTTAGGACAGGTGTCAATCCATATCTGCCAAGTGACCCTATGTAGGGGACCAGTCTCTATTCTGCTCTGTGTCCGTGTGCATCAGGGGCTCTGAGGACAGGTGTCAATCCATATGTCAAGGTGTCAATATGTCATATGTCAGGTGTCAATCCATATTGATTGTGATTTAGGAATGTTAGGTGATTTCTGCCCTTTATGGATTAAAACCAGGCTCTGTATCAACTGTGTAATTTTCCATGGGAGTTTTGCCATGGATCCCCCTCCGACATGCCACAGTCCAGGTGTTAGTCCCCTTGAAACAACTTTTCCATCACTATTGTGGCCAGAAAGAGTCCCTGTGTGTTTTAAAATTCGCCTGCCCATTGAAGTCTATGGCGGTTTCGCCCGGTTCGCCGGTTCGCGAACATTTGCGGAAGTTCGCGTTCGCCGTTCGCGAACCGAAAATTTCGGGTTCGCGACATCACTAGTTTTGTCATGTATAAATAGGGGCATGAATTCTCGAGATGAAAATATAATTTTCAAATAGAAGAGCTGTGTGTAGACAATTTTCACAAATGTGAAAAGACGACACACTAAGGTCAGAGATGGTGGTACCAGCTCCACCGAAGGGCATAACCCAATATTTATTAGGAAAAAAATCGATAAACAAATAATAGAGTCTCTACTAAGTATGGGACTCTAAACCTGGTTTTAATACATAAGTTCAGGGAAAGTAAGATGCAAATAGTGACTCATCAGAAAATAAGCTCGAAATGTAGCCCGAATCGTCTATTATATATAACCCCAAAAAGGGTGCCAACAAATGAAAATAATAAATGCTTTATTAGTATATATAAATAAATAAAAGGCACTATATATGAGAGACGATTACTTGGTGGCAGGAGGTATATAAATCATCTGAAGATCTTAGTGATGCAGGACAAGCCTTTCAACTACTATATTTGTACAGGTTAGTAAGTGTTAAACTCACTGAAGGGAAAAAAATCCAGAAAATAATTTAATTGAAAACTCACTGGGCTCATCCACAAGTAAACTAATCCACTAACCAGTAGGAAGGTCTGTAAGTCATGCACACTAGCTAAATATTAAAAATAGCCGGGACAGCAATCCTTATAAACTAGGAGTCTGTATCTACAATCTAACGATAGCTAAATATGCACAGAGGTCCTTGAAGAGCTCCTAGTAACAATTGATGAGGTTCTCAGCAATCAACAAACCGCGTTGGATATAGCAAATAAGCTAAAAATCAGGGAACAGGGAAGGGATGCTGTGCTGTTCAAACCTGTGGCTCCCAAAAGCAGACACCTTCAAGGGTTTTCTATGCTTCCCCTATGTTATCAATAGACAGGGGAAAAGCGCTATCCTGTCAGACCCTATGGCTCCAACATAAACACCTTCAAGGGTGTTCTATGCTGTCCCTAGATATTGAGGTATTGAGATATTGCAGGTGTTATGGCTTACTGAGCTGATTAGAGTGGGACACTGTGAGCCTAGAATATTGCACCTTTTCACAATATTCTAATTTACTGAGATTGTGGATTTGGAGTTTTCATGAGCTGTAAGCCTTAATCATCGCACTTATAACAAATCACGGCTTGAACTATCTTGCTTTGCATGTAATGCGTCTATCTCATATATTAGTTTCCCCTTTTACGTTGCATTACTGAAATAAATGAACTTTTGCACGATATTCTAATTTTTCGAGTATCACCTGTATATAGTCAGGATTGTCTTATAGCACCCATTCTGTCCCACCCTCTCACACATTCTATTACCCCCTCCTAGATATTAATTATCTCACAGGCATGAATTTATACAGCGGGTCACAATTTAGTACAGTTTTGATAATGCAGTTAATTCTGACTCACATTTCTCAATGTCTAAAATACAAAACGACTAGAATATGGATGGCCCCTTACTTTGTTTTGTTTTTATTGATACAGCTGGGTATCTTAACCTCTGATGAAGCCATGTGGATGAATTACTTGCCTGATTCCTCTCAAATGAAGACATGAATGAACACTGAGAAGGATCCACGATATTTTGTATCTTGGCGTCTTAAGTTGACAATCACTAAACACATACTGGTATAATTAATTCGCAATTCCTCATGTAAACCCTGCTTGCTGATTCTAGAACATGCCAACAGGGCAATGAATGAAGCCTGAAACCACCCCAAAAAAAGTTCATCATTTCTGGCTGATTTTTATAAATTCAGTTTTTTTCGAGCCAAGGTGTCTGTAAGTGTGGTTTTGTCTTGAGCAATTCATTGGTTACCAATCTCGAAAGGTAAATTCATAGAGTATAAAGGACAATAAGGAAAATATCAGTTCAATATAAGGACCGTGTAAATGTGTTGGCCGTCTTCCTCAAGTTAATGTAAGATGCAATTAGCATTTTAATTGGCTTCCGGTTAAGCCAATTAATGACTAACACAGTTTTTTCCCCCTTTCTCTCTATTCTGACTGCAGGTTGACCTGTGTTATTAATCAGGCTACATTCTGACACTTCAAGCTGGAAAAGCGGCCCATGGAGTTACATTTTCCCCAACAATAAATTGAAAACGGAACAGATAAGAAATATAAACCATATAAAAGAAAAGACCCTGTATAAACAGATTGAGAAGGAAAATCTTATACTAAAAATGGAAATGTCAAAATAAGAGATGAAAACATGGCAGATTACTATAAATCAGCAGTTACTGCAGGGGGCAAGTTCGCACGTTGCTCCATGAGGTGCGGGTAATATTGCATCCTGTTGGACTTCAACTCCTATTATGCTCAGCTAGCTTTGAGATAATTAGCACAGCAGGCGTACTTTCAATTATTCTCCTGACTAATGGCTTTCATGGAGATGGAGCAGTGATCCTGTCATTAGTGAAGATTTATTACAATATTATTCAGACTGATACCTGCATAACCTCCGCTATGACTTTAGCAGAAAGCTTATTACATTTTACACAAGATGGTGTATCATTCAGATTCCTAATCCGGCACCCAATTATACTGTGTAATCATAAACATCCAGTACATAGCACAAGGGCACAAAAACACACCATTCACATGTTCACAGTAAGTACCAACCAGATAGGCAACAATTAAAGGCAGGATTCCACACTCCGGACTAACATTGTGGCTGCTGCAGCTGAAGTGTCACCTCGCTACAGAAACATTTAATGAGGTGGAAATATCACATGGAAACACACAGCATTTACTGCAAGACATTACAGCAATAAGTATGCATAGTCACACATGCACACACGAATGCTAAAACACACAGAAAAAACACACGCAAGAGAGCACACACACACATAAAAACACAGGCGCACATGAATGCTAAAACACACAGAAAAACACACGCAAGAGAGCACACACACACACACATACAAACACAGGCGCACACAAATGCCAAAACACACAGAAAAAACACACGCAAGAGGGCACACACACACACATACAAACACAGGCGCACACAAATGCTAAAACTCAAAGAAAAAACACACGCAAGAGAGCACACACACACATAAAAACACAGGCGCACACAAATGCTAAAACTCACAGAAAAAACACACGCAAGAGAGCACACACACACATAAAAACACAGGCGCACATGAATGCTAAAACACACAGAAAAACACACGCAAGAGAGCACACACACACACACATACAAACACAGGCGCACACAAATGCTAAAACACACAGAAAAACACACGCAAGAGAGCACACACACACACACACACACACATACAAACACAGGCGCACACAAATGCCAAAACACACAGAAAAAACACACGCAAGAGGGCACACACACACACATACAAACACAGGCGCACATATTCACATATTCTGACTTTACACAAGAGGCTAATGGTTATATCTGAGCATTGAGTTAATTTAAATTTATCATTTATTTGAATATTTTTCAATGATATTTTAGTCTGTAAAGAATTCTGTTCCATGGAACTTGCTGAGCTCAGTGATAACATATATTACCTGAGTAACTGTTTGGGATCAGTAGGTCATGTAATGTCCAATGAGCCCAAGGAGTACAGAGAGGTTTTTCAAAGATACAAGCCGAGTTCAAAGGAATACAGAAGTTAGGATAAACAATAAATAAGCCATTTAGCTCTTAGGCTAACGAGTTCGCTAACGAGTTCCAAAATAGGGCAATAATGAGTGGGACAGGCGGGTATAAATAGGTAGGACTTGTTTCCTATTCGGAAAGGCCATTTAAATGTTCCACATGACTCATAGATGTTACAAAACCATATTAGTTCGATCCATGACATCATCCCGCTCAAATCGGTCCAGCGAATGCATCATTTGGCCGCAAATTCAGGTGCAAATAAAAGGACAAGTTTTGAGTGCACACAGAGTTCAGTAAGGCCCTGGGGAGATAGCGCAGCTAAGCGGACAAGGGCACATGTAGGAGTGTGGGGATAGATGCATGGGATTGGTTGGGAAGAGTGTGTGTGTGGGATTATGTTCTGTGCAAGTTAGTGTGGGGGAGGTCTTACCTCAGTGCCACTTGGGATTCGGCAAGCAAACAGCTTCCCTCCTGCCCGCCCTATTGGTATATTTCGTCACAGCTAGCCGGGGCTATGTCCTTGCCAATTGAGTTTGAGTGGTTACGTTTAAGTATATGGAATGAGATGAACACGTTTTTTTAGGTCTCAACCTCCCCTGCTTCAAAAGGTTAAACATTAGGTTGCCTGAGGTGTCGTGCCCATCGAGCGTGGATAAGGTCGTCTGATGGCGGGCATTGGAAAGATATGATTTTTATGACGAGGGGGGAGGTGAGAGGAAGTGGTGATTAGGAACCACTGTATGTTTATTGGCAAGGACGGTTGGGTCACTGTATAACACTATGTGTGGAGTTATATATGTATATATGTTAATTTATGCTTATTTATGTCTAACGTTTTGGTTACAGAAAGAAGAGATTTAATAAATAAAGTTATGGATGTGTTATGCAGTAATTTAGTTTGTGATAATAAATGCTGTGGCCTGTTCATCCATACTAAGTGGTCTGTCGTTATTGGGGGGGTAAATGGGTTTAGATTTGTGCTAGGCTGCATCGCAATTCCCCACTACGTACATACAAGACCCCAACAAGCCTGACAGTCTGTGGTTGATTCAAGTAATAATTTCAAATTAAATTTTTTTTTTTAATATTTGTGTTAGACCCAATTTCCTGTATTTGTTTTAATTATAAGAAATATTTATTCTGTAGAATAATGTAAAATATCCTCTATCAAAATGTAAGTAGTCCTACAATGTTTCAGCAACTTGCATGAGCTGGTTTTCTTATCTTGTTTTTCATATACAGTAATCTTGAAAACATTAAGAAACATAAATCGTCATTTTTATCGCTGCTTCCACTCTGCATTTCATAATTCATAACCCGCCGGCCTGGCCGGCCCTTAGTGCTGGTGACACTTGCTAGTTATCGAGGATGTCTTATTCCTCGGATTCTTGGAAGGCATGAGATTGTATTTCATCCCTCTTAGCTTCCAGGAATGATGTAACAATGAGAGAATACCAATGAAGAGGCAGTATATGTCACGAATCCTAATAATAATAATGATCCACATTTGCAGATCCGATTCTCCTGAAGAGACGTTTAAGACGTGTTGCACAGTGTGCCGCGCGTTTGGTTTTTGTTGTTGCTATGCTACTCATTAATATGAGAATATATGTATCCTGGATCAATCCAGAGATTAACTCAAACTGTTATCATGAATTTATGTGACTCCAGAGACAAGGCAGCGAAAACATGCTTGCTGTTTATTGATCACTATCCTAAGTGTTTTAATTATTATTGCAAAACCAGGAAAAGCAGAAAATATTAGGCTGAAGGCGCTCTATAGTGTGTCTTAAACATATCATTTCCCAGGATCCTTTGCTACAATGTTTGCTGGTATGGTCGGTCTTTGCCAACACTGTTTCTCCTTTTGGCAGACACACATACTGAGCTACCAGGTTCCAGAATATCACTCTGAGACTCCTACAATGAGTGACAATATCATAGAACACAGATTTGTATCCCTGACCCTATAATGTTCCTTTATTGGAACCCTATAGTCACCAGAACAACTACAGCTTAATATAGTGGTTCTGGTGAATATAGTCAGTGACTGCAGACTTTTTAATGTAAATAGTGCTGGCTAGAGACACTTTCAATGGCAGTCATTCAGACGGCAACTGGAGGTGCTTCCTGGTTCAGCGAGCGTGGAGACTCTGAACTTTCCTCATAGAAATGTATTGATTCATTTCATCTCTATGAGTAAATGCTGATTGGTCAGCAGGATGTTTGCTTTCACCCGCCCCGCCTCCTTTCAAAGGAAAGCATTGTGACTGGGTGAGATTGTCAATTCTGATTATCTCAGCCAAGGAGGCGGATAGGAGGCGGGGGCAACAGCGGCTGACCCTCACGGAGCTGGAATACAGGTAAGTTTATCACCTTTTTAGGGGGCAATGGAGGGCCGGCCAGCTAAATAGTGTTTTTAATACAAATGTGTATTCCTGACTATATATTGTCCCTTTAACTGAACTTCTACCCTTCATTGCTGGAGCTGATGTCAGACAGAGAATTATTTTATAATTAATATTTAAATATCACCAACTTATTCTGAAGTGCTTTTACAATGACAGAAAGGGGACATTTAGGGGCAAAGAAGTCCCTGCTCAAACAAGCTTCCAACTCAAACTGGTGGAGAGGTGGATATCTATCATTAGGGGTCATGTCTACAGACACTTCCTGGTGAGATGGTCTGATCACGAAACCAGGGTTTCCCAGTTCCAAGGCAGCGATGTTACCACAACTCTAATAAGAGGACGATATGCATGCCTGCAGTATTTGTTTGTGAATGCATACATTTATCATTTCTAGTCTGTCCATGTGATGTGGTACATACTTCATAGTAAGATGTGTTTAATCACTAGTCTGACTGTTCGTCAAGTTTTATTTGATGTGAATTAGAAGATTGGAGGGACCACCAAGGAACATAGACCAACGCAGGGAAGGTGTCTATTTCTGCCCACATCTTCTTATGTTTTGATGGTGGTTTGATCTAAGCTTCTTCTTGTGTGTTTTGTTCTATTGCCCAGAAATGTGAGTCAACCACAAGCAAGGCTTCTGGTCCATACCTCCCTACATTTCAAATGGACAAAGAGGGCTGTTCTGAGAATTTTAGGTGACTTGTTAATAACGATTTATGAAACTAAAAATTAATTTAGAACAGTGTATACTATTTACTCGGACTGATTTCAAACACATTTATTGTAGTTTAAAAACACATTACTGGGGGTATTATTGCAGTGGAGCTCTGTTATACACTCAGACACATTACTGGGAGTATTATTGCTGTGGAACTCTGTTATACACTCAGACACGTTACTGGGAGTATTATTGCTGTGGAACTCTGTTATACACTCAGACACATTACTGGGAGTATTATTGCTGTGGAGCTCTGTTATACACTCAGACACATTACTGGGAGTGTTATTGCTGTGGAGCTCTGTTATACACTCAGACACATTACTGGGAGTATTATTGCTGTGGAGCTCTGTTTTACACTCAGACACATTACTGGGAGTATTATTGCTGTGGAGCTCTGTTATACACTCAGACACATTACTGGGAGTATTATTGATGTGGAACTCTGTTATACACTCAGACACATTACTGGGAGTATTATTGCTGTGGAACTCTGTTATACACTCAGACACATTACTGGGAGTATTATTGCTGTGGAGCTCTGTTATACACTCAGACACATTACTGGGAGTATTATTGCTGTGGAGCTCTGTTATACACTCAGACACATTACTGGGGGTATTATTACTGTGGAGCTCTGTTATACACTGAGACACATTTCTGGGAGTATTATTGCTGTGGAGCTCTGTTATACACTCAGACACATTACTGGGAGTATTATTGCTGTGGAGCTCTGTTATACACTCAGACATATTACTGGGAGTATTATTACTGTGGAACTCTGTTATACACTCAGACACACCAACAACACGGAGCTCCAAGAAAAGAGGGACATTAGGAAAGAAAAGATATGGGCCCATAATAGGGA